GTTCTTTTCTTCTTCTCCCTATTCTTATTCTTCTTTTTATACTTCTTTTTCTCCTTCTTCGTATACTTTTTCTTATTATTATTATTATTATATCATCATAATTATAATTTTTCCTCCTCATTCCTCCCATCTTTCTTTTTTTTACCCTCCTCTTCTTATTCTACTATCCTTCTTCGTCTTCAGAGAAAAGGATATTATATATAATTAATTAGATCGAGACAATTGTTACCTAGAATATTTACGCAATATTTAGAGTCCGTTTCATGAAGTCAATGGTTTAACTTCACAGCAGAGTCTCCATGAATAGTCAAACAACTACAGTAACTGATTACATGTGGACCAATCATTTCTCAGACCATTTAGAAACAAGGATTATACATTCAAAGACATCAGATCACTTCCTGAATCGACTCACATAGAGGCTACTAGAATTCCTGTTAGCTATTTAGATCCGTCTGAATGTAATGTGTAGCGTCAGTTTATCAGTGTTTATCTTATCCGCTTTATCTACCACGTTCTTCCCGTTCAAGTCGAAAGTGGTCAAGACTAAATCCTTTACTAAACCCTGATAAAAAAAAAAAAGAATCCAATCAAAGAGAAATACAAGTGAAGAAGACAATTTTCCAAACGCCCAATTACTTACAAGGATGCCTTTAGGGTGTAATTTCGAGTATCTCATGCCACGACAAATGCCAAAGCTAGCTACGGTAGAAATAAACTGAAATAATATCCCGGTAATACCAAGAAATCTGGGACGTCCTCAGATCATTGACTTGAGCGAAATGAACGGTGATAACAATAGCAATTTCATGATAAACGTTATAATGGCCTCTGATAACGATATTCGCTTGCATTAAAAAAATCATCTTTGCAAACGTTGATAAACCTCTAGTTGATTTTTTAATGCAAATATGTATTTTCATAACAACGATCTTAACACTATGGCATTCTCATCAGTAACAATATCAGAATTCCTTGGAGTTGTTAAAGCAATGAAAGAATCCCCACCATGTTATGATGACATCCCTATGAAGGGTATGGTGGTGTCGTTATCCCACATTTCCAGTGAATTTGGTACAGGTCTTCTTCTCTATTGACTGAAGGCTGCAGAAGGTATACTAATACCGTCCTACTTCATTAATGACATTTTCAAGATTTTCGCAAAACATCTCTTCCTAAACCGGATAGATTTCGTGATGAAAATAGTATAGCGACAATCTCACAAGTCCACTGAAACAGAAGACATAAACCTTACCAGACATATAGCTTCCTACCCAAGTTGAATATCGCTACACACTTGTACTTTCTCTAGACCTGAATAAAGCTTTTGATTTTGTTGTTCTTAGCATGCTGCTACACAGATCAGATCATTATTGAATCAACGGCCTCGCTGGTTGTTTCAGAATCTCACTGATCGATCGCAGTGTGTCCATTCCATCGTTCAAACCCCTCTGTTCTCCGACGCCAATGCGGGGTACACAGGGATCCATGTGAGGGTCGTGTTTATTTTCAAACTCAATTCCAGTTTGCCGAAGATAGCAACTCTAACCTGAGTGGTACATCAATAACTTAATACGGACTGTGAATACAGAATAATGAGGAAATGAAAGGATTCAAACAATAAAAAATTCCCTTAAAACTAACAAAATACATATCATATTCTACATTAGCATATCTCAGCCAACTTTTCACTCGACACCCGAATCTGTCGCTAAGAAAATGATCAAGCGAGATTTAACAGCTATCTTTTGTCATTCTGGATTACGACAGAGGTACGATCATATTTATTTTAAAAAAAGGGAGAATAAGGGAGTAGTGTGGAGCAATTTATCATTTGAGAAATTGAAACAGATTTATTATTCATTGGCTTATTCAGCTATCGGATTTCCACGTTGTGCGGGGTGTTGTTCCCTAGAATCGAATGAAATCATGGGCCACTAGGCAAAAAAAAAATATATATATATATATATATTAAAAAATAAAATATTCGAACAGTATTATATTTACGAAGATATGACTATACTCACAAGTCCTGTTATATCTAAGACTCATCGAGTTCAAAGAAATAAATGTATATTTCTCAAAAATATTTGTATGTACTACTGCACAGCTTAGTAAATATCTTAATCCAGGGCACATTATCAACTTAGACAAGGAAACTTACTTATATAGATCTGGTCAATCACAAACGTTTATAGGTTATAATAGTGAACTCACAATAGCTAATGCAACTACAATGAATATTTAAAAAAAAAAAATAATCCCCATGCAATCGATTTGTAATATACTTGATACCATGATCTATAACTTATGTTAGTACACAGTGTATTCCGTATGTAGGTTCATTGTAAAGTTCAATGAATTCCATATTCATTTTTTAGCTTCTGGAAACCTCTATCTTCAAACATTTCACGTAGCTGCTTTGTTTCCGCTTCCTTCAGGAAAACTGGTTCTCAACAAAGCTTAATTTCGTTCTTCTTATATATGTACTTTAAATTTTTGGATAAAAAGAACGTCAATTTCTTCTCCATCTTCTTTTTTCTCCTCTTCCTCCTTTTTTCCTCTTCCTCCTTTTTTCTGTTATTCTCCTTCTTTTTGTTCTTCTCCTTCTTCATCTATTTTTTCCTTCTTCCAATCATTATTCTCGTTCTTCATCCTCTTTTTACTTTAATTCTTATTCTTATTAGATAAAACACCATTTCGTGTAGGCTGCCTCTAATCAGGCGAAACACAATGTCATCCGCTTCCGGTTTACGCGAGTGTTTTCCTCTAAATATTACCAGTTCCGCTTCTACTGGCTGTGGTCTGAGAGTAATTAAATGTGAGCCTTATTATACCAAAATTTTGCTGAAATGTGGAAGCTGTTTTTTTTTTCTATAGGTGTCATTAAAATCATTCGTACTAATTCTAGAAGTTAAACTAATACTTATGCAATGTTATCGTTTGCTTAATGTATTGTATGATTTTTAATGTCTTATTGAAATCAGGGTAATTTGTTTCTGAAATAATCCATTTTGGCTCTTTTGTGTCCGTGTGTTGGCAATTCTTTCGTTTATAATTAGCCTGATGTCAATGCCAGTCCTGTTATTTAGAGATTTTTATGAGTGTTATTTTTATTTGTTATGGCTCTCTTGATGTCATGCACGAAAAAGTCGAAAGTTTACCAGTTTTTGTAACGGAGAGAGCAATAGTATCTATACTATCTTTACTCACTTAACAGAAAACATTACATGCTTGTTTTTATCATCTGTTAGCAAAATCACTAGAAGAGTTGACTCTGTGGTCATAGTTTGCAGTGACTTCCTTATGAGTTCCTGATCAGCAATGTGGAGATGGCGTCATCATGGCAGATCTGTTTATTACTAAATACATTAAAAGAGAGGTATTTCCTGTAACCCTTGTAGTTTTACTGATTATATTGGTTGTTGGCTTTTCCTAATCATCTATGTTGATTTTGTTTCGTCTTTTTTAATAATTTAGATGAAAAGAGACATTTTTCCAAAACCTTTTTCAAGATAAACTATCCTGAGGAACCATAGGCATCCCTGCAGACTGCGCCTACGATGAATGACGGAAGCATATGGTATTTAGACTAAGCTAGACATCCTCAGCATCTGCGCTCTCAACAATTACTGCAGATGTCGCATTTGTTGTGGGAGTATCTCGTGCATAAATGTAGCCTCCCCGCGTCTTGCATTGCATCTATAAGCACTGAAGTTTTGATAAAAGCACTTGGCATGTCTAGGTGAATCCACGTTCCACTTATGCATCGAATATCAAGACCAATCCATCATATATTTCAGCATTTGTGATCTGATTGTCGGTTTTGCTGGCGGTGGTGCCTTGCCAAAACCTCTGATAACGATTGTACTTGTTTCTCTTTAGAAACGCCTTGCAAGAACAGCGCAGGCTTTATTTCTCAATCTCTTACAGTTAATAAAGCTAGCGTAATAGCTGAGCAATTTGTGTGCTTTTTACACGTTATTTATTATCGAAACTCTTCATTTGTGTCTGGGTGACGACGACTGACGGCTGCTGCCTCTCGCATTCCTGCTTCTGACTAACCATTTCGTTAACTATGCTGACTGCTGCTTAGAGAACATTCCGATTTTTTAAACTGTCGTTATTAAAGGAAGGTTCTTGGTTTGTCGGTGTTTCTTGGTTTCTGTTTTATTGCGGAAAAAGTAACTAAAGATTCAGAAATACGTGTGGCGTCCAGGCAGTGCTGGAGG